GGTAGGTGGATTAGTGTGTTGGTGGATGGATGGATAAATAGATGGATGAATGGATGGGTAAGTTGATGAGTGGATGGATGGATGGTTAGATGTACAGGTAGATGGATGGGTGAGTAAGTGGGTGAGTAGATGGGTAGAAGAGTGAGTGGATAGTTGGTTGAATGGGTAGAAGGTGGATGGGTGGATGAATAGATGGATGGATGGATGGATGGATGGATGGATGGATGGATGGATAGATGGATGCAAGAATAGGTAGATGCATGAGTGGATGGATGGATGGATGGATGGATGGATGGATGGATGGATGGATGATGGGGTGTGAACGAATGAATGAATTAAAAAGGGAAGGGGGTGGAAAGGAAGGGAGACTAATTAAATGCATCTCAGAAAGGTAGACTGTCTTGCTCACGTCCCCACAACGTCAGAGTCAGATAGTCTCTGGAATCCACCTCCTACCTTTCTGCTCTTGTTGTGCTCCCTCCAAGCACCTGACCCAGAAGCCCATGGTAAATCCAAGCCCCAGGCACAAGCCTCAAAGGGCTGCCCCTGAAAGCGTGAGGTCCTGCAGGGTGACGGAGCGTGGTTAACATCAGACCCTCTGATGTGTGTGGCTGGCGCTGGGGCTGAGGTCTTCATGGTAACCTGCCTCAGGAAAAGATCTTGCTGGGGTGAGGGTCATTCTGAGAGGGGAGGGGATGAAGAAGAGCCGTGTGGACACAGCTCAGCTCCAGGTCCACCAGGGACAGAGACAACGAAGGCCAGTGTTGGGGTGGGGTGTCCCAGGCAGCAAGCTCTGAGATGTTGGCAGGTTGGCAGGCTGGGGGCAGGAATGGGCAGTGGGAGAAACCGAGGCACAATGCAACCCTGACAGTAGCCTTGGTCACATGCACGAAGGGTTCTGGAGCTAGAGCAGCCCTTCAGAGTAATCCCAAGTCTTTGTGGCCTCACACTAACCAGTGGCTGCTTGTGGCCACCCCGGAAGGGTGTGGCAAATGATGGTCGTCCCCCAACAGCCCTCCCAACAGCTGGGCAGCAGGCACTTTATTTAAGGGTGACTCATGAGGGTGCTCACTCCACGGAGGATGGAGGGCCCATTATGGTTAAACCATCAGGGGAACCCTGTGAATCATTTTTAATGACTGAGGTAGCTCCACGGGTCTTCATAAGCACAAAGTGATGAGTGCTGTATTTTCCTTATAGACCCACACCTTCAGAAAATAGATGGCTAAGTCACAGTTTTCCCTCATTTAAAAAAAATGTATAAAGAAAGCTGATGGTGCCTGGCTATCAAAAGATATAGCATTTGGGGTCTTAAAGGCTGGAAGATAAACAAGCGACCAACTAGCTCAGATGCAACAAAGCCCACATGGAAGAAGCACACCAGTATGTGTGACCACGAGCTGTCGAAGGGATCGGGTGTCAGGCATCAAGGAACAAGAAATCATGTCATTGTCAAGGTGTGTGAGTGCAGAGTGGAGACTCAGAGTCCATCGGGTGGCAACAGAATATCCCCCTGCTGAGGGCTTTTGGGGAGGAGATGAGCTAATCAGGGCACAGGGTAGCAACGATGAAACATATAACTTTCCTCTAGTTCTTTAATGCTTCCTTCCCCAATATCATGATCCCAATTCTGCAAATCTGGCTAGACCAGAGGATGTACATTGGTACAGATAGCAACTTGAAACACAGGGAACCCAGGATAGATGACTTCTTCAGGACCAGCGGTGAGAGGGGCGAGGCCTGGAGGGTGAAGGGAATGCGGGGTAGAAGGGGGGAACCAATTACAAGAGTCTAAGTAGAGCCTCCTCCCTGGGGAATGGACAGCAGAGAAGAGGGCGGAGGGAGACACCGGACAGGGTAACTTATGACAAATCTATAATAATTTATGAATTATGAAGGGTTCAGGAGGGAGGGGCAGGCGGGAGGGAGGGGGGAAATGAGCAAACGACATTGAGGGCTAAAGTGGAGAGCAAATGTTTTGAGATTGACGAGGGCAACAGTTGTACATAGGTGCTTGACTCAGTGGATGGATGTATGGACTGTGATAAGAAATGTATGAGCCCTGAATAAAATAATTAAAAACAAATGTATCTTTTATGGTGAATTAGGGGGGGGGTGCATTTCAGATGATTGTGTGTTCTACAACTTCGACTGCTTACAAAACCACCTCATAGCTTGCCTCACCCTCCCCACTGTGAGTTTTCTGCGCCCTCTTGGGAATCCTATCTTCCCCTCGGCCCCCAAGTGAACGCCTGTCTGTGCTGAGCCTTGGTGACGTAGTGGTCACAGGTCAGGTTACTAAACACATGATCAGCCATGTGAAGCCAGCAGTCCCTCCGCTGAAGGAAGACGGGCTTTCTACTCCCATCAGGAATTACAGTCTTGGACATGGAAAAAAAATTTATAAATTATCAAGGGCTCGTGGGGGAGGGAAGGGGGGAGGGAGGGGAAAATGAGGAACTGATACCAGGGGCTCAAGTAGAAAGAAAATGTTTTGAAATAGATGATGACGACATATGTACAAATGTGCTTGACACAATGGAGGGATATATGGATTGTGATAAGAGCTGTAAGAGCCCCCAATAAAAAAATGTTCTAAAGAGTTACAGTCTCGGAAACCCACAATGCTGTGGGGGAGGTTCTTTTTTTTTTAAATCGTTTTATTAGGGGTTCATACAACTCTTATCACAATCCATACATCCATCAATTGTGTAAAGCACATGTGTACATTCATTGCCCTCATCATTCTCAAAACATTTGCTCTCCACATAAGCCCCTGGCATCAGGTCCTCATTTTTTCCCCTCCCTCCCCTCTCCCCCCTCCTTCATGAGTCCCTGATAATTTATAAATGATTATTTTGTCATATCTTGCCCTGTCTGACGCCTCCCTTCGCCTACTTTTCTGTGGTGGGGGCGGTTCTACCCTGTTCTATAAGGTTATTTCGGGTCGCCATCTGCAGTCTGCCAGTGCGTTTCTCCGGTTCTCTAGCTCAGGGTCGGCTAACTGTGGCTCTCCCAGTAAGTGCATGTGGCTCTGAATAAAAGTGGAAATTTTGAAAAGGATATGATTCAGATCGTGGTGATTTCATTTGTTTGCAAAAATATGTTCGTGGCTCTCAAAACAGGTTCAAACTGTTGTGAGCAACAGGACTGGCACCTCCATCGCAGGAGTTTGCAGACCCCTGCTCTAACTTACTGCTTCAGCTTCCCTCTCTTGCCCTCCCCAGCTCGGGAGCAACTGAAGTCTGTTCCCTTGTGTCCCTCACAGTGGAAGGAGTAACTCCTGACCCCACCCCAGCCTTGATAGCCGTTAGTCTGCTTTGTGCTCTGTGCATCTGCCTGTTGGTGATAGCTCATGGAAGGGGGATGGTACAAGTGCCCTTTTGCAGCTGACTTATTTCACCCAGCATCCTGTTTCCAAGGGTTGGCATATATCAGCGCTTCATTTCTCTTTAGAGCTGAGTAGCATCCCCCTGAATGGAAGGGCCATATGCTGTTTACTGACTCGTTGGTCTGTTGATGGACAGGGTTGTTTCTACCTCCTGGTTACTGTGGATAATGCTGCAGTGCACCCTGAAGGGCAAGTACCTGGGGCTCAGCTTTATCTACCAAGGAGGGCAATCGCTAGGTCACATGGTTGTCATGGGAACCCAGAGAACTCCAGGGAGCCTGGAGGCACAATGGTTACAAGTTGGACTGGACTGCTGACCACAAAGTCAACAGTTCAAAACCACCAGCTGTTCCACAGGAGAAAGACAAGGCTTTCTACTCCTGTAAAGAGGTGCTGGTGCCCTGGAGTTGGCTCAGGTCCATAGCGACCCTGTGTACAACACTGCCCAGTCCTGAGCCATCCTCACCATGGTTTAAATATCTGAACCCCTTGTGGTGTCCCTCTGTCTTGTCCAGGGCCTTCCTCATTCTCACTGCCCCTCGACTGTAGAGAATTACACAGAATCAGAAATTCAAGGGAACAGCTCTGTCCTATAGGGTCGCTAGGAGTCAGAATTGACTCTCTGGTCATAATTTTGGTTTATTTTTGATTCAGTAGTTAAAAAAAAATACCCTGGTGAGTAATGCATTGAAACATGAGATCAGAGGTTCAAACCCACCAGTTGTTCCCCAGGAGAAAGGTGAGGCTGTCTGCTTCCACAAAGCCTTAAAGTCTCTGAAACCCAAAGGGGGCAGTTCTACTCTGTCCTGTAGGGTTGGAATCGACTCGATGGCAGGGGATTGGGTTGGGTTGAGTTTGGGCTTGTGGATTTCAGAGCAGCCCTGGTGGTGTAGAGGTTAAGCATCTGGCTGGGAACCAAAAGGTGAGCAGTTCAAACTCACCAACCACTCTTTGGGAGGAAGATGAAGCTGTCCCCTTCTGTCAAGATTGCTTTTGGGTGCCATCGAGTTGCCTCTGG